GTATGTATAGAATAAACAGTTTAAAGTTTGAGAGATTTCTATTAAAAAAGCAGAACTAGTGTAGCCGATTGAGGAATACCATATGTAAGCCACTCCATTAATGATGATTTTTTGACAACAATTCTCTAGGCTCAACCTCACTCACAACTGCGAAAATAGAATTTTCTACTGCAGAAATTATAGCAAACTGAAGTTGAGAATGTGAGACGCAAAAACTTTATTGTAATAATTAATTTACTTTACAGCATAGCTAGATCTATGGGTAGGCGAATACTGGAACGGCAAGACTAAAGAAGCTAAGCGTTCTTCTAGCGGCTTATTTAAGGGAAGACATGGATAGCGAATAAGAAGAACAATGAAAGTCAACTCCTTAGACTCGTTCAAAAAGATTACGGCAACGGCAAACACCAACCCATTCCGTTATCTGAGCAGGTTCGCCACCAGCAGTTCTAAAGTGTTCTATAATTTCCAGTAAAGTGTTCATTAAATTTGGATAAACTCACAAGATCGTCAGGGATGCACCTTTCGTTGGCTAAACAACGTTGTCCACAACCAGTTTGAACGCAACAACGCTGTGAAATATGAGTCCCAGAAGGTTCAGTTGTAGGAGGACCTGAGATAAGAGCATAAAAGCACTCTTTATTCAACTTATCTTCATACTAACTAGAAACGAAAAATGCGGGCTTTTTGAGACTCTTCTTGCACATTGCCGAGTAGCCGCTTGCGTATCCACAGTCCCATTCGTTCCAAGATCCCTCTGAACGGTCGAAGTCCAACCACATTGTGAGACACAACTCTGTTCCAGATGGTGGTTCTAAATTGTTACGGCTCCTCTAGAGCGAAAAGACAATCCATTGCTTGGTCTCCTTCAACATCCGACCAAGTGTTTTACTAATAAGAAACATTTCTGCTAGGCTTGGTCTATATTTGATAGTGGACCCGCTGACCACCTCTGAAGCCCTCTGCCTGGCGTCCTATAGCCCCGTCGTGCCACTCGTAAGCGCCTGTCCGCGCCAGGCGTACCAAACGACCAAGCCAAATCGTTGGAGTGCTAAGGTTTGCTTTCTTCGCCAAATCTGGAAACATACGTGCACGAAATAGAACTATCAAATTCAGCAGATTTATGGGGAAGAACCCACTAAAGACAAACGCATTTTCGTATTCGTCTGTGATCGATGCTAATCGTCCTCCAGATTTACCGCAAGCTCGTTCTGCTTCTGCCCAACGCAATCTTTGAGGAAGAACAAGAAAACATGATTTTGAACGCTCGTATCGTGTCCATCCCTTGGGGCAATCTAAAATAACAAAAGACACTTTGAACAAAAGAGGTGATGAGTTGTCAAGAAGGTTTTGTGAATGAGGACTGGCTAAATTTCTGACTGAAACGAAAGCAACGAAAGAGTAGTTTCATTCATAAATTTTACACAACCTCCAGTAATGTGCTTTCTCTCTTTATCCACTTCGGTGAAATCCGTATTATCGGAGTTATAATTTTCCAAGCGTCTATTTTCGTTCGATGGAGAAGCATGGATTGTTTATTTTAGTGTTTAGCTGGATTCCAGAAATGTGCACATTTCAATTTTGAAATCAAATTGCCTGCAAGTAAGAAAAAAAATCGTTTCGAAGCACTCATCTAATGTCATCTAGCATTGTTAATCGTTATGGGTTTTGAACTACAACCAAAATGCTAGAGACTTTAAGAGCCTTCCTTAAATTAGACGATTTTAACGAGAAAACTTAATAAGCAACTTTGTCAAAGTCGTCTCATCTTTTGCTAGATCAAGTCAGCATCAAGTACTAAGTATACAGTACATGAAATTTTGAGATCATATTTTCTTCTGAAATTGAATTGGTCAGTTACGAAAGCTAAATTTACTGGTTAGCTGAATCATGTTTTAATACGGCCCACAATTTAACTTTGCTTGAACTGCCTATGTTACCATTTCTTACTGGAACGAAGACAGCGTCTAGTCATTTTCTAAAGACATGTTCCTAAACATTCATCGTCACGACTTCTAAAGGATACATCTATAATTAGTTGGAAATTTATAGTTTTTGATGTTTTACATAATAGTCTGTTATATATCTAATTTCAATCTTTGGATCATCTGTCAAATAATGACAGTTACTAGTGTTTGATAATATTTGCTCAATTAAGACTGAACCTGAAATTATCCAGTTTTCATTGCTAATAACCATTTCTTTAACAAATTTTGCAAGCCGGCTATAAAAGATAATGGATTCCTTAGTACGTGGCTATACGATAAAAACACAACAAAAATGGATTATTTATTCTAAAAGTGCAGCAGTAAAAGTGTAAAAGCTAACTAGCAAGAGTAGCTAAATCTTTGTTACAATTGTTCCAGCAATTCGCCTTTCTAGAAGTGGATATGTATAATGCTCAATAGCTTCACAGTCACCGGAAATGAGTTACATAAAAGTTGAAATAGCC